TAATAATAATAACAACAACAACAACAACAACAACAACAACAACAATTATTATTATTATTATTATTATTAGTATCACACAAGAACAATTTAGTCTTTTTCATATCACTTTTTCCCTATCAATTTTCAATAATTCTATTTTTGTCTACCAAATAATGTAATTCGAATTCCAACCTTATCCTTTCATACCGAATTATAATTCTTTCCCTCACAATTCTCTCCTTCCAACTAAACACATACTGAAGTGATAATTTGTTCCCAATATTCATGAAAAAAAAAATACCAATGTTTAGCTAAGAATCTTTTCCTCATATTTGAAGAAAAAAAATTCGGTGAAAATATTTTTCATGAACCAAACAGAATGAAAATTCAATTTCCTTAAATTTTAGAAAAATTTGTTATTTTGGAAAAAAATTTTCGGGTAACCAAATGAGCTATCAACTATTAGTATTATCAGCAGCTAATTTGAGCAGTTAAACTACTATTATATATATATATATATATATATATATATATATATATATATATATATATATATATATATATATATATATATATATATATATATATACTTCCACTCAAACGCGGTCGCGCCTTAACATGCATGTTATGGACAAGTGTACTTAAATTTTGATTATACCAATATTGCTAGGACCGTAGACCCCTCTTTTTATATTCTTTATCTTGGATCTTTCGTGTTAGACGAAAGTAGTAGCAACTCACCATGTGATTCGTAATATGCAATACATCTACACAAATCTGAGTTGTGTTTAGTACATTAGGTCTACGAGAAGAAATAAAGAACGAGAGAAGACCGAGAGAACAACATAGATCGAAAGATGAAAGGGTCTAAGCTCTCGTGCAAATATCAAATGATAAGGAAAATCATTTGATCAATAGAGATAACGAAAGATAAAGACAATCTTTCGTTTGACAATTCTGAGACCATTAAGTCTAAGTCAGACTTAAATAGACAACTTTAATACACGAGCAAGAAGAATGTTGTCTATGTCTCACAGTTGGGCAATCATCCTAGACAAAAGGAGCCCTAGGAATGATATTCACAAAAACCAAGGAGCATTAAATGATTGGTACTTCATGTTAGCGAAAAAGGACAAAAAGTCATGTTGCTTTTTGATACCAACGACTACACAGTACAGCCGCAATAAATGCTCCATGTCCAGTGGACAATACATGCTGGTTAATAGGTTTGAAATTTCATCTCCCTCCAACGGATGAATTTTTCCTCACCTATAAATACCTCTCTTCACAATTGAAGAAGGTGATGATTTTTAATTGATTCTATCTTAAGAAAAGCTCTTCAAACAAGTTCATTCAAAATCTTTTCTAAAACAAGTGTGTGTGATTGTGAAGTTTTCAAAGAAGCTCATCCAGATTTTATTCTTCACAATCTTCAAGAAGTCTTCTATCTTTACAAGAAGATTCATCCGATCATCAGTCAAGACTTCAAGCTGTTGGAGAAACTCGGTCATTTCCATCCAACACTCAACTCTCAAGAAGAAGTTGATAGAGGCGGAGTAAACTCTAGGAGTTGAAAAACCTTTCAAGTAGTTGTCCGGCTTAGTGATCAAGGAAGCTAGCTTGAGTAGTTTGTACTAGGGGTGTTAGTGCAAACCCTTTCACAAGTTGTGAAAGAAGAGTGGAGTAGGCTTTGTTAATAGCCGAACCACTATAAAAATCACTCTCTCCATCTCTCTTTACTTTCGTATAACTATCTATCTGGCATTGCATGCATACTAACCAGACCATAAGCTTTCATAACGAAACCGTGCAAAGTTCATATTAAAACGAATATACATTTTCCGCTACATATAACCCCGAAAGGAGTTAATCTCAAAAATCAATTAGAGTCTATTAACCCCCCCCCCCCCCTCTAGACTCTCTTTCGACCCTACCGGGACCAGGTTTCAGAGCGGTTACCTTGAACGTTAAACGTTTTGTTTTTATTGCCTAGTAGATCCGTCTTTGAAAATCACTATAGAAAATTATTACTTTTCGACTTTGCACATCTTTTTCTTGAAAGAAAAATGGAAAAGGATCATGCTAATCGCTCTAGGCCTCTTGCCTTTAATCTCTATAAGTTTGATGACTGGAAAGTCAGGATGCAAGCACACCTCTCGGCTATCCACGATGAGATGTGGGATGTAATAGAGGATGGACCCATTGCAATAATGACTGTGAACATACAAGCAGCTGCTCAGGGAGCAGACCCTGAAGTAATGATCCCGAAACCTAAGTCTCAACTCTCACCAGAAGAAAGGACGAGAGAAAATCTCAACAACATTGCACGAGACATACTCTACAAATCTCTAGACGACTCGTTGTTTCCAAGAGTGCGTGTAACACCCCGTGTTACGACCCCTAAAACCAATTAATCACTTAACCAATTATCCAAAGAAAGAATTAAATTACAATAATTAATTAGGAAAAGGCCCACCATAGTCCGTGGGCCCTCATCTCTAAAACCCAACCCCTAGTCCTAAAAGGAATAGAGTTAGCAAGCCTATAGTAATTGGGCCATAATTAGGACTCTTAGATATATAAATAGGGGACATAGGAGGCACCTAGAACCCCTACCACAATAATCTCTCACCACACAAGGAATTCCAAGAATTCCCCTAGGAGAAATCAAGAAAGAAGAAAGACTTAGAGAAAGACCCTTCATAGCCAAGGAAATCAACTAAGGCTAAGAGGTAACCCATGTCTCAATAAAACCTATTTTCTTAGCTATGATCTCCCTCTAGGCATCCCTCTACATTCTTGTGTATTGATGATTCGTCTATGATATTGATGGTGTGATCTTGATAATTGATGTTATGATTTCTTGGGTAATCTTGATAATCTTGATGATGGAAAGAGATTCTTGACGATTGTGTGATATTCTTGATAAACCTAGATTCCTAATGATTGTGTGATGTTCTTGATAAATTGGATTGGTTCTTGATGATTAAAGGATGAATTACGTTCTTGATGATTTAATATAATTAGAGCCCTAGGATGTATTGTGAAACTCGTGTGGTGTTATTCTTGATATATTGGGTGGGAATTCGCATGTTTGGGTGTTAATTATGTTTAGAAAGCATGATAGGATATGTGCCGTATGTTTCTTGCTTGTGATCCGTTAATTGTCTACGTGTTGTCATCAATTGCGTTTAAAGGTGTCTAAGCATGGTTTTGGGTTCCACCAGGGTTCCCGGGGCGTTATTTGTGAAAAAGAGTCAGTGGGGGGTAGGGGACCCGCCACCTACCCGCGGCCAGATGACTGCCCAATTGCGTTTAAAGGTGTCTAAGCATGGTTTTGGGTTCCACCAGGGTTCCCGGGGCGTTATTTGTGAAAAAGAGTCAGTGGGGGGTAGGGGACCCGCCACCTACCCGCGGCCAGATGACTGCCCGCCGGGCACCCGCTGCCCGGAAACTCGTCACCGGCGGGTGACCCTTCACCCACCGGCTACCCGCTGGAAACTGTCCCACTTCGGGATCCCGGCTTCCCCGTTTGTTGTTCCCCCGACCCCCGTGGTGTCCCAACGGACTCCGTCTATCGTGCCTATGTCTAGTTTGACGTTCGGGTACCATTCGTAGGATGAATGAGTCTTATATATTACATGCTAGTTGAATCGGCATCTCGTTGACCTAGGTGTAAGAAGTATGAACCCCTTAGGATTATTCTTAGTAGGTGGATGATCACGCATAGGTTTCGTTATACGATTTCTCCCCCTTCCCAATGTGCCAATGTGGGTTGCATGTGTTTGCTATGTGTTATGTGTGCATGATACCCCAATTTGGTTGCGATCAAATTGGTTATTCCTGTGCTGCGGTTCAGAAGCTGGCTGCGGTCAGATTTACACTCTCGGGCTGCGGTTCACCGTTTGGTTGCGATCAAACGTTTTACATGAGCTGCGGTTCATATTCCTGGCTGCGGTCAGATGACTACTCTTGGGCTGGGTCCACTGTTTGGTTGCGATCAAACATTATGAAGAGCTGCGGTTCATCGGTCGGTTGCGATCGACCCCTCAGTGTTGTGATACGGGGCAGGGTGCTGCGGGGCCGTTTCAGAGCTATATGCGCTAACCCTCATGTATGGGCATGCGATTGATCCTGTGGCGCCAACAAAGTGTGCTATGTGATGAGATATGGATGGTTTGATGATACGAATGTTATGAAAGTGTGACCATAGGATACATGCTAGTAAACCGTATATGCTTGGTTATGACTATTGGCTGTGCTTATCTCTATCTGTCGAGTCTGTTCCCTATGCTTGTGAATTATATGACTGTTGACTGTGCTTATCCCTATCCGTCGAGTCTATTCCCTGTTTTAAAAGCTAGAGTCTCTTAGGATATATCTTCATGCTTCGAAATGGTTTTTCTTATATCTATATATATGCCTATATGTATTGTATTTCAACGCGTTGGAGTGGGTTACCAGCATCTCTCGCTGAACAGATATATTTGGCTTTCAGGCACAGAGGGGTAGACACTGGAGCGCGCTAGAGTCTTGGAGCGTAGAAATAGATAGTTTCCCTTTCGGCCTGCGTGCCACGCTTATGCATTTACATTATTGAGGATATTAGTTAGTTAGCCTGTGCACCTGAGTTCTCTAGCTCAGGTGTGGCATAGCACCCCGTACTCTTTATATTATGTTTTGGGATTTAATGAGAATTTACCTTTATTATATAAGTCTTAAAAGTTGAAAAATTTCGGGGTGTTACAGTGCGCAACTGCAAAACCATGAAGGAAATTTGGGTCAATCTCATGAGCTTAGGAGAGGGAGATGAGCAGGAGAAGGACAACAAGCTTACAATGGGCATGAAGAAGCTCGAAGACTTCAAGATGCTACAAAACGAAACGATCACTGAAATGGAGCTTAGATTCACGAAACTTCTTGGAGACATTTTAGATCTTGGGAAGGAGCTAACTCAGAAGGAGAAAAATCTGAAGATACTTTGAGGACTTCCAAAGTCTTGGGATATGAAGGTGACAACTATGAGAGATCACCAAGACTTGAAGATCACTCAAATGACTAAAATCTTCAGTGATCTCAACGCTTACGAGTTCGAGCATGAGCCCAAAGAAATTGAGGAAACGGAAACCAGAAATATCGCTCGCTCTGACGAACAATTTGCCTTGTTTTTGCATAAGTTTAAAAGGTTTATAAGGAAGAACAATTTCCAAGAACTTCAAACGTTTCCAAGCTCTTCCAACCAAAGGCACACCGAAAGAACACCTCAGTCTTCAAATCAAGGAACGGTAGATGCAAAAGTGCTATGCTATAATTGTCGGAAGCCAAGACACTACAAAGCAAACTGTCCTCATCTTATGGTCCGCAAGTACCAAGACTTGGAACCTAGCACAAGCTCACCGAAAGATGCTACTGAATCCAGCAAAAGAGGTGGAAAACAAGAATCAAGTCATTCACGACACCAAAGAAGAAGGAAAGCAATGGTTGTGAATGAACCGACTGAAGTGGCTGAACCCGAAACCAGTGCCTCAAGTTCAAGCTCAGAAAGTGAAAGTTTGGGAGATGAAAAGGGACTTTTGTGTCTCTTCAGTCGAGAGAAAGATGAAAGTGATATGTGTCTAATGGCCAACAATAATGAGGTAAACTCTCAAACCTCTTCATCAACTCAAGTAGAAACTAGCTCGGACAGTGAAGGAAATCCAAATGAAAAAATCTTTGAGATGATGATGGATTTCGAGGTAATTAAAAGCACATACTCCAAATTAAAAGAAGAGAACTCTCGACTATTGATCAGCTATGATGAGCCAAGACGCGTTAGAATCAATAACATCAAGCTAGCCATCGCCAATGATCAGCTCGAGAAGCAAGTTCTTCTTCTTAAGGAGTAGTGTACAGAAAGAGAGTTACGAGAGCAAAATCCGCGTGAGGTTATTGCATCATTTACTAATTCTTCTAAGATGATAGACAGAATGGTGAATGCATCAAGACCGCCAAGGGAAAAACCCAGAATTGGCTATGACCCAAGCTCCCCATCACAAGTCCTGTTGAACAAGCCTACTGGCCCTTCTTCCAGTAGAGGTCTAAAGTCCGTATTTGTTCAAGGACCAACCCAGATGCCTGAGCCGATGACACAGATTGACAATGGTAATAAACCACAAACAACAAGCCAATCTAAAGGAAAGGTTGTCCAACGGGTTGTGGAACCCCCAAATGGAAATCTCTTGAAAGGCAATCCTAGACATAATAATAATGTAAAAAGGAATGGACCAAAAGCAACTAGACCTAGTCTACATTGCCAAAAAGGTCAGCCTACAAGAAATAACCAAAAAGGGGCAAATCCGAATGTCAATTAGAGGCAAAATCGTTCAGCTTATCAACGAAAGAACCCTTTACGAAGGAATCAGAAAGATGGACGAGATAGGCATGCTAAGCCTAAGAGGTCACTTAGAAGACCGATGATGGGAAACGGATGGAGTGGACCTTCCGAGGAAGACTGGCTTGAATATCCTGAACCTTTATCGAAAGCAGAATTTGAAAAGATTCATCTATATAAACAAACTAACTATTCTAAGCAATATCGCAATCTACTCGACACCTATTTTCAAAGTCGATATAAAGCCAAAACTTTTGCAAAAATCCATTATGCTTATCGAATCTTTAATGGCTATAGAGGACCGAGGATGAGCAACACCAGCTCTAGGTTCATCTAGGTCCTGAAACTATCCACTAACCCTCAAGGACCTGAAACTGATGGGGTACCTAGAATTACATTATTTTTTATTTCAGGACAACAGGGTCATCTGGTACGTTGATAGTGGATGCTCAAGACACATGACTGGTGACAAATCAAATTTGAGCAACTACAAGGAAGAAGAAAGGAATGAGTGATATCGTCAGAAATGGATTAACCATTCGGGATGCTTCATATGTAGAAGGACTCAAGTTCAACCTTCTAAGTACAAGTCAATTTTGTGATAAGGGTTACAAAGTAGAATTTTCGAAGGACAAATGCAAAATCATAAGTAATGAAAATGGAGACATCATTTTGACTGCAATCCGAAAGAAGAATATGTACGTATTTACATGGGAATCGTCAAAATCCAATGTATGTTTTGTTGCCAAAAGTAATGCAAATCTAAGCTGGGAATGGCACAACAAGATGAATCACCTAAATCTCAAGACCATCAGCAAATTGGCAAAAAGAGATCTTGTAGAAGGCTTACTGAATGTAGCTTATGTCAAGGATAGAGTTTGTAACGCTTGCCAAAAAGGAGAACAGATCAAAGCTTCGTTCAAGTCCAAATCTATAGATACAAACTCTCGACCATTAAGTCATCTACATATGGATTTGTTTGGACCTATTAATCCTGTCAGTCTGAGTGGACGAAAGTACACTCTCGTAGTAGTGGACGACCACACAAGATACACTTGGACATTATTTCTAAGAAAGAAGAATGAGACTGAGAAGATGCTACTTGAACTCTTGAAACATCTTCAGACAAAAAAGGAATTTAGCATCATACGAATTAGATCAGATCAGGGCACAGAGTTCATGAACAAAGTAATCAAAGACTTCTGCGGACAAAATGGAATTTTTCATCAACTATCGGGTGCACGTACACCTCAGCAAAATGGGGTGGCTGAAAGAAGGAACAGAACTCTCAAAGAAGCAGCACGAACAATGATAGCTCACTCTGGTCTACCTAAACGTTTCTGGGCTGAAGCAATCAACACAGCTTGCTACACTCAAAATCGATCACTCATCAACAATGTCAGGAATAAAGTGCAATGGTTTTGATATGCCAAATTTGTATTTGTAGAACCCCCAAATTTATATGTTTAGGTCTAGTTGAGTCTCAGACCATGATCAGAAAATTATTTAATTAGCAAAAGAGAAAAACAGAGGAAGATGCATGAAAATGGTAGAAGAACATATCAAGCCTAAAATCAAGAATTTGTCTGGTAAAAATGACAAATTAAAGAAGAAGATGTAAGATATGAACTTCACGTCTATACCTACTCAGAAAGAATTATCAGAAGGATTTTCGTTAAAGAAAATCAAGATTTAAAGTTTGCATGAATTTGACTTAAAGATCAAGCATCTATGGAAAAAAAGGAGTACATCAAAGAAGATTGGAAATATAACTAAATGACTGTATAGACGGGTTGGAAGATGCCTGATATATTATACCCAATGGCTCATATTTGAATCTCACCATCTACAATTTTACAAGGTAAAATTTGAAGAGCCAAATTAATTACTCCAGATGGAGTAATTGGGAGCTAATTTCACATGGGAGTTGTAGTATGGGATGCAATTTCAAAATTGGGGACCGATTGTGGCTCCCAATTCACATGGGAGTTGTAGTAAGGGATGCAATTTCAAAATTGGGGACCGATGCAATTTGAATTGAGATATAATTTGAAACCAGGAGAAGTCTGGGAACCAGTTTCGAAGTCAAAGTCAAGATTGGGCACCAAATTCAAATTGGGAAGCAATTGAGAAGCAATTTGAAACATTACAAGTCAAAGTCAATCAAATTGACATTGGGAAGCAATTGCACTTGGGTGCCAATTGCAAGGAGAAATTCAAATTGGGAAGAAGTTTGAAGCCAGTTTGAAATCTGAGAACACCCAAACGTGAAGATGAAGAAAACTTACAGGAAGAATTCTCAGAAAGAAAATACTAGTCTAACTAGTATGAGATTAAATTGAAGAATATTTTTGAAGCTTATAAATCCCAAAGAAATGACAACCACTACATAGCAGATTAGAGAAGTCGTTCTACATAATATTGAGACCCAAATACTTCAAGAAACATGAGAATACCAGAGCAACACCAGATGATGTTTGGGAACCCATTTACATGAAGTTGAAGCTCTACAAACGGCTAGATTATTTTCTGACACTTTGCCAGAAGATAAGATAATATCTCTGACAAAAGATACAAGAAATAAAAAAATGAGATCGTCTTTTTCCAACGGGCAAATTCTCATTACTAGCTATATAACGATGAAGATTGAAGCAAAGGAAAGCACCCAAGCAGAGCAATATACGAATAAAAACAGATCTGAACAGAGTATACAAAAATTAAGAGAGCTTTCCATCTCAAGAGCTATATTTGAAATATCCAAGAGAGAGAAAAACACTCAGATATAGAGCTATCAAGAGAAATCATTCAAAGAGTTATATCTTCATCACAAGAGACTTGCAATACATTGAAGATCATCTACAGAGTCTCAGAAGTTGGAAGCAAGAGAAAACTTGTTTTTTCTAAAAACAAGTGACATCCCTACGGGAGTGTAGAAAGGAGACTGTCACAGGAAGTGTGAAGTCTTGGAGAAAGGAAAGTAACATGGAGTTGTGAAATCCTGGGAAGTAACGTGGAGACGTAAAACCCGAAGCAGCAGTGTTGGAGGCACTGGGCGGCGTGATTAGTGCAGGCTTTGTGATCAAAACACTAGATCACAGAAGAGCGATTCTACCAGAGTGTAGAAGACGGGGGGAAAGTAACGCGGAGTCGTGAAATCCTGGAAAGTAGCACGAAGTTGTGAAACCCGAAGCAGTAGTGTTGGTGTCACTGGGCGTGATTAGTGCGGGCTTAGTGATCAAAGCACTAGCTCATGAAATTCATCGTATCTAAGAACCAAGTAGTGGTGGATATAGTGAATTGCTCTTGGAGATAACAGCAAGTGGAGTAGGAGGATTACACCACCTCCAAACCACTATAATTGCCTTGTGTTCTTTACTGCTTTCTTTACTTACTGCTTCTTGCTTGCTTCTCACTAGATATACTTGACACGATCTCTACACACACTTACTTTATTTATTTCTGCTGCGTACCAGACTCTAACAATCTAGTTAAGGGTTTTGGTTTCTCTGTGCCTTAGCAATTGTTGTGCTGTGCGAACAAGTTTAAAAGTCTATTCACCCCCTCCCCCCCCCCCCCCCCCCCGCCCTCTAGACTTTTACCTTTCCTCTTTTGGGACCAACAATTGGTATCAAAGCACGTTGCCTATTTGGGTCAACCTGTTTCTGACTGCTAGGCAGATCCATTCTACAAAGTGTGTGATTGGATTAATCTTTCATATCTCACGTGAAGATGATAAAGAAAGATTTAGCTCAAAACTTGTTATTCTCACTTGATAAATTTGATGATTGGAAAGTTCGTATGCAGGTACAATTATCGGCTTTACACGATGAAATGTGGGAAGTAATTTCCATGGGCCCTATCAAAATATTGAAAGTTAATACGACATTTGTCTTATCTCCGGATGCTCCACAGTACGTACAAAAGCCAAAACTGGAATGGACAATTGATGATAGATTGCGGAATAATCTTAACAATATTGCCAAGGATATTCTATTCAAAGCCGTGGATGATACACTATTTCTGAAGATCCGAAAGTGTTCCACAGCAAAAGAAATATGGGAAACTCTCATCAAGATTGGCGAAGGATATGAACAAGAAAAAGACAACAAGCTCACAATCGCCATGAAGAAATTTGAATATTTCAAAATGCTCTCAAATGAAAGTATAGTAGATATGGAAGCTAGAATGATCAAAGTTCTTGGAGAGATTAATGATCTTGGCAAAAATATTAGCCAAAAAGAAATTAATCTCAAAATCCTACGAGGCTTAACATCTGCTTGGGATATGAAGGTTACGGCTATGCGAGATCACCGTGATCTAAGAATGTTGTCAACTGACAAATTATTTAGTGATCTTAAAGCATATGAGTTCGAGATGAAGGCCAAAGATGATGAAGTTCATGAAGCTCGAAATTCTGCTCTCATGGCCGAACAACCGTCAACCTCCAGGTCAGTAGATAATATTGATTTTATGACTGACGAATAGTTTGTTCATTTTTTAGGAAATTCAAAAGGT